CCAGTGCCGGATCACAGAAAATGCCGAATGATAGAATTCACCCATAAATAAAACTATGTAAACATAGCATTATCAGCTCATTTCACACACACACAAACACACACACACATATATATATATATATATATCTATATTTTTATATATATTGCTTTCTTATCAAAGGTAGAACAAGGATTGAAGCAAGAAATAAAACAATCATTAATGTTTCCTAAGAATGTTTTTTGTTTCAAACAATACAAAGGTTTTAAAAAAGCATAAAACATCTATCTGTCTATCTATCTACATGTTATGTAGTGGTTTCACAGTGAAGGCATGTATTTGTACTAAGTCGGTCCTAAAATAGATTCGACGTACAAAACGTTAGGAACTTGATATAATAGGTAATGACGCAGAGAAATCTAGTTGTGGTCGTTGATACTTTAGTATCCGACTAACGGTTGTCCGGCATCGACTGACTGACCGACCCACTGAGCGACTCCTACTTATTATAGGTGGGAGAGTCTATGAATAGGTATGTTCCACTATAACACTATAAAATTCTGTGACTTCCATTACTCCGTCCCTCACACCCTCTAAAATAACCATACGCTAACCGATCGACACCAAATTTTTGGAGGAAGTGCAAACAGGTTAAAGGGAGTACAAAGTACACCTGGTTTTACAAGAGCTTAGTGCAATAAATTTTCATTAATTTATTTGAAAAATTAAAAGTTTTATTTTTTTAGCATACAAAATGCTACCACTATTTAAAAAAAATGTTAGCGATAACTTTGACAATATTAAATACTGTGAGGAGTTCAACACACGTCAGCGTGTTGAAAAAAAATGTCTAGTAAGAAATGAACAAGACCGTATGACTAAAACACTACTACTATCGGCTGCGAAAAGTTGTAAACAATATATGACGCTACCCACGTAGCGGCACAATGAACTAATGGTGGCCTATTCAAAAAAGTTCCGGACCATGGAAGGTGCTGGATTGAAAGTCTATAAGTGTATATTCAGTAAATTTAGTTTTAGCAATGATAATATAACAGGGAAATAAGTAAGGATTGAATTCCTAACACAAACAATATCAACAGTCCGTACAATCAGTCAGTTACTACGAGTAAAAAAAATAATATATTCATTTAATGAGCAAAATACACTTACCCACATTGCTCTAAAATTCCTTTTTCCTTGTTTCCTAAGCGATCCGAGGTGGAAATTGGTTGGAGTATAGAAATGACCAAAGATATATTTTCATTTACAAAGTTTATTTTCGTTGTAAAGTTGCCAAGATGATGCTGGTGAAATTGCTACCGCGTGTCGAATGTATCTTTTGTGAGACATCCGGTATCACTGTCGATTTTTCTCGAAGATGCAGCTATGTCTGTGTATTATTAAATCGTACTTGCAGATTTCTTAGTTTTATTCATGGTAACATCTATGAAGAGTGAAAAAGATCATCGGATCGCCTTGGAAGTTTTTTTACATCTTTATCTGATGAACTTCCGAGAAACAGTGCTGTTTAAAGTTGAGAATAGAGTTGACTTCCATTGTGTTGGAGTGTTATTTTCTCACGTAGTCCGCGTAGATTTATTTTTGAATTCTGGGCGCTATTTTTGAAGAAAATGAACTGTGTTCTGTGTGCTTCAAACTTGTTAGACGGAAGTCGTATTTTTCGTTTTGGTGAAATAAAAATTGTGATGACTGCTGGTCGAGTTCGAAGTCAGATGTAATGCGTCTAAGAGAAAGAAAGGGTTAAGTAAAAGGCTGTAGAGAGGAAATGAGTGTTGCTCACTTTCTGGCCCTATTAGTAATTGTAATGGCAATTAGGGATTTTTCTTGATTCGCCCGTGTTGAAAAAAAAACATTTGCAAACTTAGAGAACACCTTGTCCAGATAGATGTCATGTAGATGTGTTTTAGAGTTTTGAAATTTGCGATTTTTCACTTTATATCGGGTTTAATCACACATTTGTAACAATAAGTTATTTCTATTGAAAGTTTTCCGTGTCTATGCGTGGTCCAGTAGGTAAAGAAGTTATCTTTCCGATCTGCAATGAAACTTGTAATTGGTTGAGGTTTTCTTCTGTTAAAAGGGAGTAAATGGATGATGTTTAGTCTTGCTTCGTGTTGTTCCGTAAAATGTCTGAAACTGATAATGAGACATCTTCCATTTTTACAGACATGTTCGTTTGCGTGGTCAACAGTTGATCCTGGGATGGAAGTTGGTTGGAGTAAGGAAACAAATTAGACACTGGTTTGGAGAAATGACCAAAGATTTATTTTCATTTACAAGATATGAAAATGTCTCTGGTAAGTCGTATAGTGTAACGTTCGAATGTACGGTATACGAGGTGGGAAATGAGAGCGTGAAAAAAAAAAGGAGTATGGTTAATCCAGCTGACTGCTTGTTGGTTATCGGTTTGGGCTTGTCGCGTTAATAGTCGAGTCTGTTCTCTTTCTCTGTTCACGGGGGGTCGTTTTCACAGCCTAATGGTCCGACAGGCAGTCAGTCGTGCTCTAGAGTAGCGTGTGTGTGTGTGTGTGTGCGTATGTATGTGTGTGTGTGTGTGATGTCTCTCTCTGATCTCTGCTATCTCTGTACTCTGTCTGGTTTCTCTTATAGCCTATATAAGGAAGGTGCACGGACGTAGTTGTAGACATCTGTGGCAAGCGAGAGTAGAGTCGATTAGGCCAGCACTGGTATATTTTTGTTTGCTTTAAAATTTTTTTTGATTAGAGGGCAGCTTGTGTGTGACTTAGCTAGATGAAAATTGACGTATCTTTAGAGATATAAGCTTTTTCTAATAATTGTAAAATTTGGTTTTAATTTGTTATCTCTATGTGTAAATTGTGCTCTTCTGCTACATGACCACATTTAAACTGACATCGTAGCACTCAGGATAAACATATCTTTGTCTGAATTGCTGGGATGAGGAATTATCACTATTTTTTTTTTTAATCGAGTTCACCCCAAGCAAAGGAGTGAAGCCACTAAGACACAAGGGGTTACTGGGTGCGGAAGAATTTGAAAAACAAGAAGATTGCTAAAAAATGAGAACAAAAGAAAAGTGACCAGGAGGACAGTAGATTGCGATTGACATTGCATTTCAATTTTTGAAGATTAAATTTGACTGGATAGTATGGAACCGGAAGGGAGTTCCACAACCGAGAAAAGTAACTGTTAGCGTAGAATCTAGTTACACCTAGTCAACTCAACTGTAAATTCATGAGATTTCGAAGCCAGACTAGTGCTGCGTTTAAATTCAAAAAGTCTAGGAACCATAGCGAAGAGCAATATATATATATATATATATATATATATATATATATATATACAAAATGTGGCACAAGGCCAAAAGGGGAATGGGTAAAAACGAGCATAAAGTACCTGGTATTTTCAGGTGGTCACCCATCTAGATACTGACCAAGTCGACGTTGCTTAACTTAACTCTACCTCCTTTTGGCCTTATGCCATATTTTTGTATTATGTCAAAATAAATATTGCTTTCCAATTTCTCATTCCGTTTCCTCGTCCATTACACCACTAGAACATACGAGCTTACAGTACCTGGTATTCTCAGGTGGTCACCCATCTAGATACTGACCAAGATCGACTTTGCTTAAATTAACTCTACTCCCTTTTGGCTTTGTGCCATATTTTTGTATTATATCAAAATAAATATTACTTTCCAATTTCTCATTCCATTTCCTTGTCCATTACACCACTAGCACATACAAGCTTACAGTACCTGGTATTCTCAGGTGGTCACCCTTCTAGATACTGACCAGGATCGACTTTTGCTTAACTTAACTCTACCCCTTTTGGCTTTGTGCCATATTTTTGTATTATATCAAAATAAATATTACTTTCAATTTCTCATTCCATTTCCTTGTCCATTACACCAGTAGCACATACAAGCTTACAGTACCTGGTATTCTCAGGTGGTCACCCATCTAGATACTGACCAGGATCGACTTTGCTTAACTTAACTCTACCCCCTTTTGGCTTTGTGCCATATTTTTGTATTATATCAAAATAAATATTACTTTCCAATTTCTCATTCCATTTCCTTGTCCATTACACCACTAGCACATACAAGCTTACAGTACCTGGTATTCTCAGGTGGTCACCCATCTAGATACTGACCAGGATCGACTTTGCTTAACTTAACTCTACCCCCTTTTGGCTTTGTGCCATATTTTTGTATTATATCAAAATAAATATTACTTTCCAATTTCTCATTCCATTTCCTTGTCCATTACACCAGTAGCACATACAAGCTTGCAGTACCTGGTATTCTCAGGTGGTCACCCTTCTAGATACTGACCAAGATCGACTTTGCTTAACTTAACTCTACCCCCTTTTGGCTTTGTGCCATATTTTTGTATTATATCAAAATAAATATTACTTTCCAATTTCTCATTCCATTTCCTTGTCCATTACACCACTAGCACATACAAGCTTACAGTACCTGGTATTCTCAGGTGGTCACCCATCCAGATATTGACCAGGATCAACTTTACTTACCGCACCTGGTATTCAGAAGCGTCCACAGAGACATTTTACCGCATATTTACCATATGTTTTCATTAATATTTACCTGTTTTTATAAGGCACTATATCTTTCTAGTTTTATGCCTGTACAGAGTAACATAAGCTATCGTCTTGTAACAGGATAGTACTGCCTCACTTGATTGCAGTGACTTTAATAAAATCAACTATTTTCACTCTTAAACCTTTTTTACTTGATAACTAGTAATAAAATACAGTAGTTATTATTTGCTAACAGAAAGAAAAGGGAAATTTTTTTTTTCCGGGTCGCATATCATAAATCTGTCTTCAAGGCATTTTCCTTTTTTTTTATTGGTTGTTAAATCTGAAGCTGAGTGCGCGCGTCTCCACCCGAACAAGGCAGCAATATATGAGGCAGCCAGGTTGGATTCAGAATTAATTTCGCTGGGGAAGAGAGAACACCGCTGAATTGGTTGATCGAAGATTTGATAAGAGAGATGTCTATCTATCTATCTATCTATCTATCTATCTGTCTTTCTACATATTGCACTATCAGTTCACATAGACTGTTTATTTCCTTTATCTATCTATCTATCTATCTATCTGTCTGTCTACATATTGCACTATCAGTTCACATAGACTGTTTATTTCCTTCCTTTATCTATCTATCTATCTATCTATCTATCTATCTATCTATCTATCTATCTGTCTGTCTGTCTGCCGGCCTGCCTATCTACATATTGCACTATCTGTTCACATATCTTAGGCTGTTTATTTCCTCCCTATCTATCTATCTATCTATCTATCTATCTATCTATCTATCTATCGTCTACTTCTGTTTATGTATGTATATATGTATGTATCTATGTATGTATAGGCACGTGGCCAGAACTTTTGCTTTCCGATCATGAAAACCTGGTTCAAATCTGACCATCGTCGGCACTTTCCAGAGGTGTTGGGGTTGGAAATAAGTAGAAAGAACTGTTCAGGTGTCGTCGAAGGTTGCGCCAGCACGAACACACAAGTCATCATGACCGAGGTCTTCGTAGTACTGGCTTTGTTGATCACACCAGATGATATACTCTGTTCAAGAAATTGTAACAAATATCCGCTCAGCATAGTTGCTGTATAAAATACAGGTGGGCTCTGTGGGTGTTGACAAACACGAATGTACCTCAGCAGATGTCTGCAACAGAGATTGACTAGCAGCCCTAGCAGACGCGGGTCCTTGGAAACGAGTAGCCGGCCATAATATATGTATGCCCTGGGTATGTCGATAAACTATCCCTGGCAGTAATGCCTCGATTGGAAGATTGGAGTAGAGCGTGGATCCTCCTCTTAATTGCTGGTGTTCCCATGTCCACCCTAACCCGGGGTGGTAGCACCTGTTAGGGTTCTAGTTATGGGGAAACAGTTAACCAGCGGATGAAGGACACCCGTCAATACCACAACGCAAGCAATAATAACGATTGGGTGGAAGAGAGAGAGAGAGGGGGGGAGAGGCATAGAGAGATAGAGAGAGAGGGAGAGATAGATAGATAGATAGATAGATAGATAGCGGGAGAGAGATAGAGAGAGGGAGAGAGAGACCCATTCGTATTTTTTAGGACATCTACCTAGGAGAAGGAAAGCGCTGATGTAACAACTGCGACACACTAACAATCGATAGTGTTGACGTTTTCTTCTTTTTCGGATCATTGCTTGTCTTGCTCAGGGAGACAGGATCTATCCTGTGCACCGTCTTTCTTCACTTTAAAAATTTCAGGCACGATATCTTTGGGGACCTTAATGGATGTTATGCATGGCTGGCCGTGGCCCTAAAAGGCAGGGTTGTTATGATGAGTTTCAAAAGTATTACAGGCTCTTAAAATTCTTCGTCATCCAATGATAGAAAACGTATCTAATGTTGCAACTGGTCATGGCTCCTGAGTCTGTGGAAAACGGTCATGTCCAAAACGTTTTAAAAGTCATGTGCACGCACGGACATGACTTTTAATGCTTTGCATCGGCAAAGGTTTAAAAGTCATGTCCGTGCGTGGCATCGGTGAATGTTTACAGGGATTTGTATGTTTATGCTCGATTAAGGGAAGGCAAGCATCATGCATACATGTATATCTCAAACTACTTATAACTACCATTTTATATATCACAAACTGTTTATATCTATCTATCTATCTATCTATCTATCTATCTATCTATCTATCGCTGTTTATAACTGTCTAGCTAAGTCTGTTTTTATCGATCCCTGTTATATCTATCTATCTATCTATCTATCTATCTATCTATCTATCTATCTCTGTTCATATCTGTCTAGCTAAGTCTGTTTTTATCGATCTGTTATATCTATCTATCTATCTATCTATCTATCTATCTATCTATCTATTTCAGTCTGTTTATATATATATATATATATATATATATATGTGTGTGTGTGTGTGTGTGTGTGTGTGTGTGTGTTCATATCTATTTATATATCTATCTCTGTTCATATCTATGAATTTTTGTTTCTTTATATCTGTCTGTCTAACTATCTCTGTCCGTATCTATCTGTCTATCTTAGTATTTTTTATTATATATATATTTTTATATATATATATATATATATCTTTCTTTCTATTTGTCTCTCTGTCTATCTATCTGTTCATATCTATCTGTTTATCGAAGTCTGTTTTATCTATCTATCTATCTATCTATCTATCTATCTATCTATCTATCTATCTATCTATCTCAGCCTTTTTATATTTACTTCATTGCTCTCTATAAATATCTGCCGATTTTTGCGTTATTTATACTTTCTCTAAAATGTGATTTTGCACCATTACTCTTCGGATCATCCAATTTCAAACAATATGAACTTGAAGAACTCCATCTTTATCTTTGTTTAACTTTGGCGACTTAATCCTCATAAAATGTAAAATGATCTTTGCTAGTTTTGATGCAAAAAAAAAAAAAAAAAAGAAATGATCCACCAATAATAAATCCCGGGAGCTCTTTTTATTTCTGTCAGTTTCCTCTCATCGTATTGGTTAAATAAATCTAGTGAGAACACGCGTCAATAACTTATTCCTTGTTCTATAGATTTTTTTTTGTATTTACTGAATCTATTCTCTATCATGGAAGATATTTGTTGCCAGTACAGGTTACAGATTACTATTACTAAATTATTTATCACAATGTTTCACGTAAGAAAGTCAAACAACTTAAGACGGTTATAACTTTAAATCACATCATAAGTCTGAATCTATCTATCTATCTATCTATCTATCTATCTATCTATCTATGCCAGATTGTTCATATCTATCTTTCAGTGACCTGCCGTCTACTTAGACATGTTAAACAGTGCCTACCCTAAATAAAATAGATTATCACCTACTTTTTCCCTTTGTGGCAAAATATGCAACTAATCCCACAAAATAAAGATGGTTACTCTGATTATTATACATAAAATGCGAAATATTTTTTATTTTTTTGTAGATTTTCTACATAAAGGTCACAAGATGTCTACCCCAAGTAATTACTGACGACACGTGCCTGCTATCTATCTATCTATCTATCTATTATCTATCTATCTATCTATCTATCTATCTATCTATGTCCGATTGTTCATATCTATCTATCTATCTATCTATCTATCTATCTATCTATCTATTTATCTTTGTCAGATTGTTCATATCTATTTCTCAGTGAACTGCCGCCTACTTAGACAAGGTAAGCAGTGCCTACCCTAAATAAATTAGATTGTTATGGAACCTTACTCATAATAACATAATGGACTATTCCATACGTAATAAATACTGCGCCTCAAGGGGAAGCAGGGAGTTCAGTCTGAAGTCTGGAGTGAAGTCCGTCAGGAGTCTGTCCGTCAGAGCGAGCGAGTCACTCAGTCGAGTCGCGTTCAGACACTTACTACTAAACCTGATCGTTCGTATTAACACTTTCTACTTCTCTGTATATATTCCTGTTTGTAATATATCTGTGTTATTCCATATCCGTATTCGAGTTCTTCTTTATTGGTCTACCTTGGACTATCATCGTGGTACAAGGAACTGGACCATAACAGATTAGCAGGTACTTTTTCCCTCTGTGGCAAAATATGCAAATAATCCAACAAAATAAAGATGGTTACGATGATTATTATACATCAAATACGAAATATTTTATTTTTGTAGATTTTCTACATAAAGGTCACTAAATGCCTACCCGACGACACCTGCCTGCTATCTATCTATCTATCTATCTATCTATCTATCTATCTATCTATCTATCTATGTCAGATTGTTCATATCTATCTATCTATCTATCTATCTATCTATCTATCTATCTATCTATCTATCTATCTATCTATCTATGTCCGATTGTTCATATCTATCTATCTATCTATCTATCTATCTGATTGATATAAACAGACTGAGATTTATAGTGTGGGTCGTTCCGTTTATTTCATTCTGATCTACAGAGAGGTGTTGAGATCATTCCACCCCCACGCATCCTAATCGTGACCGTGACAATAAATACGAGAACAGCAGTAAGTAGTTTATATGCGAATGCTGCACTATTTTATATAAAGGACTTGAGGACCCAATAACTTTGCTAGACTCCAACAGAGCAACCATCTATGTTTTCTTGGCCTCACGTTTTCCACTGACATGAAGTGGAAGCGACTACATGGAATCAATTGCTAGATCTACTACAATAAAAGTTGGGTCACAGTGTCATGCCAGAAATATTTCTCGTCAAAATCCATCTTCCACATTTATAAATCTACCATCTGTCCGTGCATTGAATACTGTTGCCATATCTGGTCTGGTGCTCAAAGTTGTACATCTCAAGATTCTTGAGACATAAGCCATCTATATATCTAATAATTATACATTCTTGGCATCACATTTTCCATTGACAAGAATTGGAGCAACTATATCGAATCAATTGCTTCGTCTGTACATTGAATACTTGTGCTATATCTGATCTGATGATCCAGACCAAATCCAAAGAAGGATCTGTAATGTAATCGATCCTAACCAAATGTCTCAACTTCAGTCACTTTCTCCTTGACATGATGTTGCTTTCTTCTGATAAGGACATAAGCCATCTATATATCTAATAATTATGCTTTCTTGGCATGAACTGGAATGACAATATCGAATCAATAGATTCATCTACTGTAAGGAAAGTTGAATCACTGTGTGATGCCAGAAATATTCCTCGTCAAAATCCATCTTACACATTTATTAATCTACCATCTGCCCGTCCATTGAATACTGTTGCCGTATCTGGTCTGCTGCTCCTGCTGTAAATTTCGAGATTCTTGACAAAATCCAAAGAAGGATTTATATAGCGAAGAGAACGACGACTTACCTCGTCAAACCAAACGACAGCGCGTCGCGTGTATCCTACAACGGAAAAGAAAATTACTTACAAAAAAAATAAATAAATAAATAAATAAATAAAATAAAATAAAATGGGTACATATTCCGCATGACATGTTGGAAACGGAATATTTAGATTAAAATCAACACCGTTGCAGGAGTCTCTATAAAAGTATTTTGTTATGCAAAATACTTAGCGTCCTCTCCCAGTTGTCGACGAATGAAAAAAACTGCTCGGGCGATAAAAGCAGTTGGTGTTCTCGAATTGAGAGGAAAAAACTGATGTATTTTGGCTACCGCGATCGTCGTCGTGTGAGTTATTTTTCTTACTGGTTACATGCATTGTGATTTGTGACATAGTACCTGTGTATCGAGTTTTCGGCATTTCTTTCTGACCCTGATATTCGAATCTGATCTTACAGTGATTTGTTCTCTACGTTGTGGAAGTAATCTGCGACAAACATTTCCTTTGCTTTCAGAACGCTTACAATTTATAATGTAATCGATCCTGACTTGGCATCTCGACTTCAGTCACTTTCTCACCGATATGACATTGCTTCCCTCTGTCTTTTCTTCAAATATTTTCATGGAAACTGTTCTGATGAGTTTTTTTTCTGGTGCTCCGTCTACATGCTACTAGATTGGCAGTTAGGTCTTACCGTTTTACTGTTGAACTAGTAAGATGCAACCGTCACTTCTACTTTAGGAGTTCCTTTTCTAGCACTTCTCACCCGTGGAGCGCCCTTCTTGCTAGCCTGATAACTGCAATCTCCAAAGATTTAAATGCAATCGCCATTTTCTGTTTTCTGGAACTCTGTTCAATTTTTGTTATTTCCTCAATACTTCCCATTAAAGTCTTCTCATTCTCTTTCACGCCATGTAACCCCATGAATTCTAGTGATATTATAGCTTTACTTGGAGTGAAACGATTAATTTTTTTCTTTTAGAAACCATCCCACGTTTATACCGAAGGCTGATTGTAGCAATAAGGTGTGTATTTGAAATAAAATTAGTTGGCCCAAAGCCAAATGTGTTTCAATTTTCATGGACAAAGAAGCAACATGTTTTAATGAACGGTTTACATTAGTCCCTTATAGGCTGAATTTCTTTCAAATTTTTCCCCTCAAAACAAAAATTCCTTAAGAGTCGAAATTATGTTTTATTTGATACAATATTTCTTCGAAAATATTACACATTCGACCTTCTCATTCATTTTTATAGGCTTTTATAGAGTTATTGGTTTTTGTTCAGTCCGCCATTTCACTTGAATCTAATTTGATTCCATGGAAATAACTGATAGAAAAATGGAGTTCGGTCTTTTGTATCTTGGGATAATATGAAATCCTACTTCGTGTCGTGAAATTAGATATAATATCGACAAGACGATATATGACACGACATAGATTATTAAATTATTAGGTAAAGATAGTATCGGTTAAAAAAAGAAAAGAAAACAAGACACTAAAAAAAAAAAAAAAAAAAAGGAAAGAAAGAAAAAAAAAAGCTATTACAGATATTTATTAAATGTGGCTTGGAACTTTCACGTGCGAGTGAAACCAAGATAGAATCGTTTTAGAATCACCGACCAAAGCCAGAGTTTTCGTCAGTCACGATGAACGTTCTTTTTTTTTTATTCCCAATGAGCCTCCAGGATTTGATCGTCAATGGGGTGTCAAATTCACTGTAGATCTTAAAAATGAATTCGTAAATCCATTTCTAAAGATGCTGAAAGATAGTTTTATTTTATCATCCATCATCTTTCATATACCGTGTTATGTTTATTGTACAACCCAACAAGTTTGGTAAGTCCATTGATCAAAAGGACATCTACCGCCATCCTTGACAGAGGTTTCTTTCTTTCTTTCTTTTTTCACGCATAGTTTCTTTCTTTCTTTCTTTCTTTCTTTCTTTCTTTCTTTCTTTCTTTCTTTCTTTCTTTCTTAAACGTGTGTTTTTTCTTTCTTTCTTTCTTTCTTTCTTTCTTTTTTCACACAGTTTCTTTCTTTCTTTCTTTTTTTCACACATAGTTGCTTTCTTTCTTTCTTTCTTTTTTGTGAAGTAGCTGTAACAGTTGCGGATTCCTATCGCCTTTCTTACTTATTTATTGTTCTTTCTTTTTTTTCTTTTTTCTTTCCTTATTTCGCACATATAATTCTTTCTTTTTGTGCACATACATTCGATTGTGTACATAGTTTCTTTCTTTCTTTTTTTCTTTCTTTCTTTCTTTCTTTCTTTCTTTCTTTCGTGTAGTGGCTGTAGCAGTTGTGGATCCCTATCGCCTTTCTTTCTTTCTTTCTTTCTTTCTTTCTTTCTTTCTTTCTGTCAACATCCTTGAGTACATAAAGCCCCGTTTTTGCGTCTATTTTCTTCTTCTTCTTCTTCTTCTTCTTCTTCTTCTTCTTCTTCTTCTTCTTCGTGTCGTGTTCTTTCGTTAGATAGGTTATTCGTTGCTTTTCTTTACCACTCTTGCCTTCAATGTCTTGTGGATGTCAAATTCTCAAAGCCCACTTTCCTCATTTTAAGCCATTGAAGAAAGACGCCTTATAATATTTTGTGTTTTTGGAAGAGAACATTTACAATGGTCATACGAGTTTTTTTCTTTTTTTAAAACAATAAAATCCTTCTTTATCTGCAAGCATGGAGAGACTTTCGCGTTGTTTGCCAGATTCGCAGAGATTCTTACCAGAGCTATTAATGCTTTCTCGATGTTTTTTTCCTGCCTCACGCGGCATTTTTCCGACCCTATATTTTAAAATGCCATTTATTATCCTAAATGTCATATATTTCTTTATAAGATTTTTGCTGTGGGCATTGACGTTCAGACAAGAAATTTGAAGTCGCACCTTTATTTTGAATAAAATCTCACTGTCATGACTATTTTGGACGAAACATTTATTTGGTACTAAAGAGTATCCATCTAGTAAATCTGTCTATTTCAATGAACGTATTGATCCGCTTTTATATTTACACATGCTTTAACCATAAATATAGCATACTTTAAAACTATATTTTTACCATATATACAGAGTGTGATGGACAAATTGTCGTCTAAATTACTCAAAAATGAAAATAACACTGACATCTCATTTTAACAGATATATTTACCAAAATTACATAAAAATATTTTGAAATACTAGGTATTTAGTCTATCTTCCCACTAAGACGAGTTGTGACACAAGGTCTTTTTTAAGGTGGAGTCTCGAACGCATACAAACGGGCTAGGAACAAAAATTGTCCGCAGTCCAGGCAACCGTCGGTTGCGCTGGCCTCGGTGCGAGCACCGATCCCTCTCTCTGGTGCAATGAGAGGGAGGCGGTCTCAGGTAGCTGTCCCCCAGTATAATTTTCCTCAGTTGCGACTATGTCCTCAAAAGACGGAGTCGCCCCTGAGTGAACTCTGCTCAAGGACAGAGAGATGATAAGTAATGTGTTACCAACTACTCGAGAGAGCAATTTACACACTTTACAATATCTTGAAATACTAAACAGTACATTTGTTTAAAAAATCGCCATTGACTTCCACCACGGCCTCCAGACGACCTAGACATCTGCTGCATCTTTTCTGGACGGTCTCCTGCATCTTTTCTGGACGGTCTCCTCGTTTAAGTTCATGAATGCTGCCATAATTCTTGCCTTCTATACATCTTTAGTGTTACAAAGAGTTTTGTTGGTCTCTCGATCAACTGCGCCTCATACATAATAAAAAAGGGGGTTGCATTCTCTTATGGGACCTTACCCATAATAACATAATGGACTATTCCATACGTAATAAATACTGTGCCTCAAGAGGAAGCAGAGAGTTTAATCTGAAGTCTGGAGTGAGGTCCATCAGGAGTCTGTCAGTCAGTCAGAGCGAGTGAGTCAGTCAGTCGACTCAGAGGCAGTCCGAAAGAGTCGTGTTCAGACAATTACTACTAAACCTGATTGTTCGTACTAACACTTTTCTACCTCTCTGTATATATTCCTGTTTGTAATATATCTGTGTTATTCCATATCCGTATTCGAGTTCTTCTTTATTGGTTCTACCTTGGACTATCATATCGTGGTACAAGGAACCGGACCATAACACATTCTGTGGAGTGAGGTGATGTGATCTCAAAAATTGTCTGACAGCCATGATTGAGTTCTCCTGCTTGTGTGGAATGTTACAGAATACTGTTTCTAGAGATGGGGTCTTCCAGAAGCGACCCTTTGACCTAGGTCAACACTATCTCCTCAAGGCACTGCGTGTTGAGTAAAAGGAAGATGAATAAAGGCAGAACGTCGCCATCATTAGTGATCATTCCAAGCACTTTCGTGACCACCGTTAGACTCCTCCAACACTTCTGGGGTGAATGGAATGTTTCGATGCATCTCATCGCATCTCATCAGGCAATGAAACAAAGAAAGATACCTTTCAAAATATAGGTATTAAGAAACGGAAAACATTTCGTTAGAAACAAAGAAGTGAGTGCTGAACAGTTATGGAATATCAATACACCTCTATGGTAATGAATGCTGGGCAATCTCCTCACAGATGAAAAGGAGACTTCAGGTAACAGACACGTTCTACAGAAGGATACAGAGAATACCGTCAACCGAACGTGTGAGTAAAGACGAAGTTCTAGAGGCAATGAAAACAAAAAGGACAATTATTTAACATTTAAGAAGAGAGAGTTGAAATTTCTCTGGCACTTAATGAGGAAAGAATCATGGAAAACTTAATACTCACAGAATAGATTGACGGCCAGAAGGATACAGAAAATGGGCGCATAATCTACCTGAAGAGCTTGAGTGAATAAATGGCATAGTAGGGTTTGACCGAGGTACCAAAAAGACAAAATTTATTAGGTGATACACAGACTGGAAATTGAGGAGAGCCATGATCGCCAACGCCCTGAAGGTACACGGCGTATACAAGAACAAGAAATTCGTTTATTCGTATTCTGGCGAGAATTTTGACAACGGCCGAGGGCAATGATACTACGGTATTTTGAATTTGCCCCTTCATTCTTGTAAACGTTTATGATGACCGTATTCTTGCAGTCCTGTGATAATGGTCACATCGATTGAAATGCTGTGATAACAACAACAAAGATGAAGATAATAGTATGAATTAATGTTAGCGGTTAATTCTTTCTGATAAAATCATTATTTGAGAACGAATTTTTCCTTTATCATATACACTGTGGACATCTTTTTCTTAAAAAAAAAAAAACATAAACAGATAAATACCTTATTTTTTTCTTTCCAATTGCAATTATTTTTTGTTATTTCGAAATATTAAAGAAAAGAATACTGAGCTGTTACGTAACATCTGTCCTTCTTTACGGCAGCGAATGTTGGACGATTTCCTTAAAGATGAAGAAGAGACTCGAAGCGACAGAGATGTGGTTCTACAGAAGGATGCTAAGGATATCATGGACCGAGTGTTTGAGCAACGATGAGATCATGGAGAGGTTGAAAACAAGGAAGAGGCTCATACTTAACATCAGGAAGAGGCAGCTGAAGTTTCTGGGACACATAATTGAGGAAGGAGGGCCTAGAGAATCTGATACTCACGGGTCGAATAGAGGAAAAGAGAGACAATGAAAAACAAGGCGTGACATACCTGGCGGACTTAAGCAAGTGGATGACAGAACGTGGTCTGGGGGAGGAAACAGAGGGAAAGAACTTGTTGAGAGCTGCAAGGAATAGAGGGAGGTGGGGAGAGCCATGATCGCCTACGTCCTGAAAGGACATGGCACATAAAAAGAAAAAAAAGTAAAAACATGAATTCATCAACATCGGTTTATATTTCTGAGAGGTGGTATTGTAACTATTTGCATTATTTACATTGTTCAGAAGTTTCGGTTGTTGTACGCTCCGGCCTTCTTCAGGGCCCAGTGGATAAAAGCTATAGTTGAAGTAATCCAGCGACTTTACCCAAAGAGTTGTGAATTCAATACCTAAGAGGTGAGCAAAAGTTTGAGATACTAAAAGGAAGGAACAGAAACGGAGACATCCAAAAACGGTATGGCACGTGGAACTAGATCAATGCCCCGGTGCGTGAAATAAGGGGTTCAGTTCGAAATTCCAACGTTATATCACCTGAATAAGGCCGGGGTGTACAACAACCGAAAAGTCATCAATATGACAATAAAGATGAGGACAACAGTCCGAACAATGTAAATAGTGTAAAATAAATTAATTCATCTGTCTGAATGTGTTAATATTATTCCGCTTTCGTTGATTTTTTGAAAATCTTTGGTTCCCTCTTTCAATCACCTGTACTCATGCGCATGCGTGGAATATTTCAAGCCTTCCATTTCTTTTTAAATTTACACGAACTGCATTTAAGTCTCCAGCAACACTTTGTCGTTCAAAAATGCCGTTTGCAATTACCTTAATGTTCTACTTGAATTCAATCAAAAGACCCTCTCATCCACTTCTCAAAACTATGACAGCAAATATAATAATAAAAACAACTAGGAGATGAAAACGCGGTGATGTAAAAGTAGGCTTGGCTTCAGGGAACAAATTTGTAGAAGTAGTGAGGAAGGGTTACAATCAGTAACTATAAAATACAAGGGCGTATTACAAGAAAATCCTTGAAAAATGATTGAATGATTCTTTTATGAGATCTGTGAGAACCAGGTTGGTTGTTTAATGCTAGAATTTCAGAATTGACGATTTTACAAGTTTAGGAATAATGGTTAGGTTGGTTTTAATTTATATACATAGTCAATGTTTGAAATATAACGAAAGGCAGGCAATCATGCAAGAAAGACAAATTTCGTATCCAAAACATAAGTAAATTAATTTCTAAGGAGTCAAAGGATTTTTATCCGACATTATTTCCAAATATTGGCTTTCCAGATTTTTATCCGATATTATTTCCAGATATAGGCTTTTCAGGTCTTTTTTATTTTCAGCGCTTTACAGATTTTATCCGATATTATTTCCAGATATAGGCTTTTCAGGTCTTTTAACACATTATTTCCAGATTTTACAGATTTTTATCCGATATTATTTCCAGATATAGGCTTTTCAGGTCTTTTAAGCAACATTATTTCCAGATATTGGCTTTACAGATTTTTATCCGATATTATTTCAGATATAGGCTTTTCAGGTCTTTTTAAGCGACATTATTTCCAGATATTGGCTTTACAGATTTTTTATCCGATATTATTTCCAGATATAGGCTTTTCAGGTCTTTTAAGCGACATTATTTCAGATATTTTTAAGCGATTATTTTATTTTCAGATATTATTGGCTTTACAGATTTTTATCCGATATTATTTCCAGATATAGGCTTTTCAGGTCTTTTAAGCAACATTATTTCCAGATATTGGCTTTACAGATTTTTATCCGATATTATTTCCAGATATAGGCTTTTCAGGTCTTTTAAGCGACATTATTTTCAGATATTGGCTTTACAGATTTTTATCCGATATTATTTCCAGATATAGGCTTTT